TGTTTCAAGAAATTTGAAAGCGTCATTATTGTGAAAATAATGACGCTGTTTTCCAAATAGAAAAAATGAAACCGCTCTGATTCAAATAGTCCTGTTTAGTTGAGTTTCACGGCTGAAAACTATAATAATTTCCTTGGATGAAAGGCATTTAAAGTGTGTCGTTCAAGTCTCCTTAAAAAAACAGTACAGGAGATAACATTTTCCATAATAATCACACCTGCTTTTCTCGAACTATTGTGCAGAATTGCAAAGGAATTTGTACCTGCGTAATCAAGAATCCTGTAAAATTCTTCTTATTTTTAGCCATTTGTGGTGGGAAAATCTTGTCCAGACTTTTAAAACCACTTTAGGTAAGCTTCGTCGATTGAAACATCATTAAAGAACCATTTTCATACATTACTCACCGGGATTCCTTCGCTTGGAAGATGTTAGTTAATAATTTACAGCGTGTACAAAGCTTAATTACGCCGTCTGTACAAATGTCTATAATTGTTAGCCGTTGTAACAGAAAAATGAAATTTTAATCATCGTTCATCCCTGAGCATGCGCTGAGCGCAGCATGACTAACGTGCACTTGTACCAAATCAGTCAGCGATATTGTTCGAACAAATGTTACTTAATTTCAAATCTTACAGAATATACATGTTAACATAAACATCATATGTTTTTAAGAAACTAACTGGGATGCATATATAGTTCTTTGCCAAACAACAAAGTTACATTTAGTACCAGGAATGAAAAAAAATCCGTTAAAAGATAAAATTTCTTGGGCTGCTATTAAAAAAAGCCTCCCTCCCGCAAAATTATCAACTGGTGAATTACTGCAACGCTCACTTTGTTCCTTACAGAGGATGGGGTAGAAAGCTCCTCCTCTTTTAACCCATAATAATTTGAATTTCATGGTATGTAATCATACCAGAAGTATAAAAAAATATTAATGAACATATTAATGAAGGGGGTAACTTTCTATAGAAACTGTGGTGCTGCGACAGTAGGAGAGTATAACAGGCTAATCAACAGAACTGATAACGTAAATTAGCCACTGCTAAGAGTTTCAAAGCTGACGTTTCGAGCGTTAGCCATCGTCAGAGCGAATTTAAAAGCATAAAACCATACCCTCGATTATTTGCTTCTCATATATATATATACATATGTGTGTGCAGATATAAATATACACGTTTTCAAAAACGTGGCAATATCTATTATATTTGATATAATTGTATCAACATATACATATATCCATACATATTAAATTTGTGTATCTTTTGTTCTCTTGTCAAAAAGTGTCTCTTTTTGATACGGAAGTAAAAGGTTTATATATTTAATACATGTTTTCAAATGTGCAACGTTTTTGAAAACGGTTGTATGTATATATATATGAATTTTTTGCTTCATACTTGGAGACAATGTAGATAATTAGAAATTGTCTGTTGTTTTTTGTGGAACTTAGTTAAAAATAAAAATACGTGGGACGTTATTTTTTGACCGTGATAATTTAAAAATTTACTGTAAGTGAAAATCAGTGGAAATGAACATTGAGTGTAAATAACAACATCGAGACTGTTTGACCGGTGAAAAAGTTCTTCGAGATCTGGAACTGATCGTGGCAAGCGGGGTAAAATGGCTAAATCTGAAAGACTAGTTTAAACCCTGTTTTAAACCGCTTGATTGTTAATATTGAGATGCTCTTTCGACGGCTAACGGCAAAATTCATCTTGGCTGACGGTTAACGGCTAAATTTTTAAGGCCGTTTGACGACTGACTAGCGAACTGAAAGGACATTCTTGAACGCAAACTGAAGCCAAGCCAGACTGGAATTTTTTTTCTTCACCCCTCATTACGTTCTTTGCTTGGAAGCTCTTAAGAATTAAGATAAACTCTTGGAAGTTACTTTCGTTCGCTTCATGTTATTACAGAAGTGAATAGTTCTCTCTTGCGCCTCAGCTCTGTTGAGGGGAACAACCTAGCTTGTGTACGACAAATCATCATTTGATTCCTATCGCAGGAAGTAACGGGGGATGTTGAAGAAAATCTAAGACCACTCATTCTTCAAATGAAATTAAACTTACCCGCAAGAAGTCCACACTGTATTTACGAAAAAGTATCAAATAAGCACGGCCCATACGCGCAAGCAATATATCCCTTTACATATAAAGACTAGATCGACAACTTTCTATGTAATTTGGCCTTTAATGATTCACGTAGTAAGCCGGGCTCAGGATTGCGTACAACAGCGTTGACTGAGTCATCGATCGATCTTCCGCCCACAGACTACTCAGCTGATAAGGTTTGCGTGTATCTCCTACACATGAAAATATTATGTAGCTTAAACGCGGTAACTGGGGGAAAAAAAAACGTTGACGACCACATTTAAGCCGTCACATGAAGTTAAAAGATCGACTGGTGAATATTCACCGATCAATTTACGACACGCAGCGCATCCAAACCCAGCTTGAAGCAAAGAATTTCCTGAAGGGAAAAGGTTCTACTCTTTCATTTTCGAATTCAATCGTCATAACGAGCCGCGAAACTTCGATACATCGATAATTGCACGCCGGCAATTTCTAAAGCCAGAGAGCTTTAGAGTTCTGATCTCTAATTTCTTCCCCACGAGTGACGTATTATCAAGTTTTTTTATGTTCCACCTCTTCGCCATTTTGCCATATTAGGATGGCGGAACGCGCAAAATAACCCACGCTACATATTACGCTGAAAAATAGGCCAAGAATACAGATGGAAAGTGGATCAACAAAATGTAATGGTGGAATTCGTTTTGTTTTGTGGGCTTGACCTTTTTACGAAACGAACATTAAACCTATCAAACTGTTTATTTTTGACTAAGAACACTTTGATGGTTTCGTCTTTCATGCAAGAAATATGTGATCCATACGATAGCTTTCAAAAACTAAGCTAAAATAATTGAAAGTGAAATAAAAGTATTATTAATTATTGTTCGACGGTTTAGCATGTAATACGAGAGGATATTTTGCTAATTGCTGGTTTTTTTCTCTGCCCCTACAGGGCTACAAAAAATACTATACAACGTGCTAATATCCACGCGCTTTTTTTTGCCAAAACATCGAATAAGCTGAGGTGTTTACAATACCCGTTGACACTAAATTTTTGAGCCGCGATGCGAAGAGGTCAAAATTAGGCATTACACTAGTTTCAGGAGGCTGCAATTGGGCCAAAACACCTTCGAACATTGATTTTCAAGCGCTATGCTGCCATTAAAAATGGTTTAATTTCAGGATTCATTTCTCATTTAAAACTCGGCGAGACTCTCTTTTGAAGCCTTTAAAGATTTATTTATTTCTTTTTAGTACTAATATTGTGCGCACATCTAAATCCCTTGAAGGGCTTGAAATTTCTTCAGTAATTTTTTAAACTTTCTATTTTTCCTCTTCATACATGAATTAGTTATTATTGGTAAAACAGGTGTAACGGAAATCGTCCAAAAAATAACATATCATACAGTTGTCGTGGTAACCAGTGTATTTCCTTCTCAGCGCTGTTTTCGATTCTTTATCCGGCTGGCGAGTAAAAACTACACCAGACGTAGTTTATTGTTCAAAAGTCTGCAAATAATTCAGGTAAGAGAAACTTAAGAGGAGAAACTACGTAATTTCGTCGCTACCAGTTCGAGCTCTTTCTCAAAAAATATGTGAACTATTGTTTTGACGCACAATATTTCTGGTCTCCACTATGATGCTTGAATGTTTCGTTCGCATAAATTGTTACGGTTCTGAATATTCGTTACATTTATTTTCAATATTTTATCTATTTTTCCGACATTATTATTTGCTTTTATGTATTGTCATCTTTATTGTTAAAATCCTTAGAAGTCTCTGGCTTCTTAAATTATTGGCATTCAGTTTAACAAAACTGATTGCAAAATTGTTAACGCGTTGCCGCTCATCAAACAGTCAACTTAGTTGTCATCAACAATAATATTTGTTAACATAACGGAAAAATTCATTAAGCGCTTGCTTCCTCCGTTCGTAGATTAACTTCATTTAAAAACATTCAGGAAGTACTGTGTTCTTCGAGGGAAAAACCGCTCTAAGCCGAACAATTGCAAATAAATGAAAACAGCCGGCGAAATCATGATGGGAATTTTTTTTTTCAAGAATCGTTCTAGAAGCCTTAACATAAAAAAACGTTGACATTTCGTTAGATTCCTTTAAAAATGAAAGAGATTTTGGAGAATAATCTCAAAAAAGATTTCTCAGTACCAAGGGAGCGTAGATTGTGGGTTGAAATATTGTTTCAGGTGACCAGTTATGGTCTTATTTACTCAATACTGTCGAAAAAAAGGGTTGATAGCTGCTAAAATGAACACCGGATATTGTAGCTAACTTTTTGAAGAGGTCAACTTAGTTTGCCGTTTCTCTTTTCCCATGTTTCAACCTCGATACATTACAATAAACTAACGTCAAGCTTCACCTGTTAGCTAGAGGTTTCTCTAACTCTCTCCATAAGTGGTTGCCGATGGTGTAATTGGCGGCAGTACCGTAAGGCGAAACCCAAACACGAAGACTGTTTGCGAGCTGAACAGACGGCGGTGAGAAGTCTTACCGGCAACCGGTAATCGGCTTTAAAATTGTTACCCCTGCCTTGGCATTGATTGCATTTGAAAAGGATAGAAAAGTTACAATGTCCTATGCCACAAAATTCCACATTTCAAAATATCACATTTTAAATTTATAAACTGGTTTTAAACCTTTAAGAACCCCTAAGAGTTACGAGCATCTAATTTCACCCTGAATCAAACATAAAGGTCGCCAGAATAAAATAAATAATAACCAACCAAAGAAACTCTTGATTTTTGTACAACTTGTATAGAGAACAGTACAGAGAATATGTATTATGATGTTACGGTGTAAAGGGTTAATTGAATGCAAGATTACGCTTTTGCTTCTTCTATAATGAGTCGTCTATTGTTTACCATCCTTTGTTTCTAGTAAACAAACCTTAACTCGAACCTTAAATTAAAGCATCCATGATTGCCTGTCGCAATTAAAACAGTTCTCAGTTCGTGTCGCCTCTTTGCCGGTGGATGAACCAACCACTCAATTTTTTGTATTGCAACCAGAAAAGAAAACATTCTTTGAGAGTTTGACAACGTAAGTGTACATATACATTGTATTTAGAACTTTGTTGAGACTAGAACTTTTTTGTTATTCAAGAAGTCGCAAACATTGCCAAGAAACCTGTGAACTTTTGATAATTTCATCTCGTGTGTTTGCACTTTTCTCTTTCTTAAAATCGTTCAAAACTTCAAGCCCTGATATTCCTCGAAGGTTTACCACTGTTCTTCAACAGAATAGAAGGCTAGACTTCAAATATCATCTGTAAGTCATACCACAATTAGGTCGAAGGAAAATTCTTAAACTTTGTTCGCATGACAGATCATAAATTTTTGCACTCTGTCAAGCAGGGCACAGAGTTAGCTAAAACAGATTCTTACAGATACTTTATAGTTCATTTACATCACTCATGCTGTTTTATTCAGAGAACATTTATGTAGAAGATAGAGCATATTCCTGGATGGCAGAAATGTGTCTTATTTGTTTCATTATTCATTATTCTTGTGTATTATGTGAAGAGTGTTTTACACACATGATTGAAGATGTGCATTGTTAGTCACAACCGAGTCAAAGCGCAGTCGGCCGGTGCGGTCAAAAATGTTAACGCAACCAAAATTTTTTTTCAAGAAAGTATGATCTGTTTTGCAATAGTCCTTTATATCTGGATAACTGCATTTAGTGGTGAGATATGAAGACTGAGTGTCATAGAACAATGCAGTTTGCTTCGTATCACAGTCAAGTGCTATCAGTAAATAGATACCAAGTTATTTCAACATGTCTGACAAAAAGCAGTTTTCTTCCATTCAGTAGCGTCTTGTTAACATTCTAGGGCATGTCAGGTTCGTTTCTCGTTTTTTAATATTTTAACTTTTTATCAAGGGCTAGATGACATGAACCCCACCCCCCTCGTCCCAACCCCTCTTCGAGGTAAACCTCAATTGTCGATGTCTTGGAAATTTTCACACGGTCAAAAAAATGTTCTCTGTCAGCGGAAATGATATAAGTGACATCTATTCCGATTTATGCTTTACTAACTACGTTTTCTTTTTTTTTTATCGAAACGCCAGGTTAATTGTGCAAGCACAGGAGTAACTGCCTCTCACGGCTGCAAACACCAAGATGTCCCGTTCAAAAACTCTCCTTCGAGAGATAATTGACTCTAACCACCGAAAACTAAACAGACACTCGCGCTTTGCTCCTCCGAAGACAAACACTCTTAAACACCTGCAGAACGAGTTCAGAAAAACAATTCCCCGCCCACGATATGCATTTGTCACGTTGGTGATGTGTGGTGACGATTATGTTAAAGGAGCACTAACCTTGGCTTGGTCTCTAAGGCAACAGAAAACAATGCACGAACTGATAGTCATGGTTACGCCTGACGTCAGCGTTTCAGCGATGAAGCTACTGCGCAAACTCTATGATCGCGTAATCAAGGTGCAGTACATTAAAACCAGAGTAAAAAGTGCCCTGAGAGGGAAAAAGTACCGAAGCGAACATAAATGGATAGAATTCAGTTTGACAAAAGCGCGCATGTTAAAACTCACAGAATATGACAAAATAGTTTGGTTGGATGCAGATTCGCTTGTTCTCAACAATATCGACCACCTCTTTGACCTTTCAACTCCAGCTGGTGTGTGCTCCAGCATCAGAAATCATGATTATTGGCATGGCTCTAAGATACCCGAGTTAGAAATCGAAAGCGCTGTTGAGAACAATTATGGTGTCCATGGATGCATCATGGTGCTGACACCAAATTTAGATCATTACCTGTTGGCAAGTTCTCTGCCTCAAGTTGGAACCACTGCTAACTTTGTCGGACCTGATGAATTTTTCTTCACGCAGTTGTACAAGACTGAGTGGCATCATATCCACATCAAGTACGCATGTACAAAGTGGTTTTACGAAATGCGAGACGTAAAACCGAATGTGATTCATTTCTTTGGCGACAAACCATGGGAGGACGAGAGCGACTGGGACGGAGTAAGAAAGTGGAGGGAAGCAGCGCAAGGCATGGTACGAGTCTGTCCTAAAATGTCGGATTTGTTCGTGACACTAGGTCAGCCGAGTTCTCGACGAAGTCACCACGAAGTAAGGTTCTCAGCAAGTTGTGAAGTATCCGGAGTAAGGACGCAAAGTTCAACGCCGCCTAAATTGCGTTTCGGGAACTCTTGAAAACGTCAAGATAGCATTATCGTCTTATTTCGCCAAAACAAGATATCGTATAAATACTGGTTTACCTCGCAAATTCAGAGGGACAGATGGTACATATCAAGCTGATATGTAGTTAGCACCATATTATCTTACCAATGTTGCCCTTGAGTCACACATCAAGGTCACAAGAATAGGAAAATGATAACCTACTTAAGTTGATTGTTAAACAAATGCTCCTTGTCAGCACATTAGAAATGTTAGAAGAGAGTATTAGGGAGAATATAAATACTGATCTCTGGGCTTAAAGGGTTAAAGCCTGTCACAAATACACCTAGTAATGGCCCAGTTAACCATCGAGTTTTTTCACGCTTAGTTCTAAGGCATCGGAGCGCGAGAATCCAAACAATTGAAGGTCTGGAGTTCGAAACCTCGAAAGGGATTAAAAGTTTTCCTTTGTCACACGCTTCCGACACGACAAATAAAGTCTTTCTATAATGAAAATTAAAGAAGTTACTGTCAGTCTAGCTAAGGAGAGCTTGTCGATTGACTGTTGTAAAACCAAACCAAAGTACCAGTTAGCACAACAGCGAATCAGAAAAAAGAAAAGTCCCAAGTTATCGATGAGAACTGAAGTAAAATCCAGTAAATTGCCCAAGTAGCGATTGGGTTTAGTTATGAATCTGATTCATTGCAAGGGAGAGGCGAATTTTCTGAACCAATCACAGAATGAAGTAAAGAACACATAATGCAATCACGTTCGATACTAAAAATTCTCTGACTGTCGAGATCTCTTTAGCCGTTTTCCAGTGCGTACCCTAAACAAGAAAGACATTCAGTGTACCGTCTCAAGTGAATTCTTTATATTCAGCCTACTTTTTGAGAACTTTTAACCTATATAAATATATATTGACAACTTTAAACGTTTAACCATGTATGCTCCATCTCGAAAGCTTGGAAGAAATATGTTCTCTATTCAATATTCTCCCTGTTCGGTGTTGGTGAAGGACACAACATGAATTCTCTTTGATGACTGCCTCTCTTGTCTTTTTGAAAATGAACAGGAATTGGTTTAAATACACTTTAATTTGTCCTTTATTGAGAGAACCAAAGGAAGAACAAACACAATGAGACCACGTGCCACATGCATCCAAATAAGGGAATGAAGACAGTCAATCAGAAAGCGAGGACGAAAGCGCGTGCCTGTACCAATTCAGATGCGCGTCAACTGGTGCCAAATGTGGGCCGGAAAGAAATCTTCAAATTTCTGTATGATTAGGTTTAACGGTGTTGATATCCAGCTCAAGCACTGGAAATGAAACAAAGAGAAAACGGCTAAAGAAAACAAACTCGCAAGCAAAAAAAAAAAACAATCCTTAAACAATGAAACAATACCACAACAACAAAAGCTCCAAGGGAAAGCAAAAACAAGAGGCCAACTTATCGTAGCTTCAATGATTCAAAGATTTTTGCGTGGCAAAAAACATTTAGCCTACGAGAACACTCTGATTATTAACGCTGTAGGACGCAGGTTTCTCCACCCGCGCGGATATTTGAGACGAGTCCGAGAGAGGTTTGCTGGGGGCCTGGCACAAATGCTTATCAGTCCTAGACCCCTCGCCGGCTCGCGTTGCTCAAGGCCTTCCTACTTTTCCGCGGGCAAAGAAACGCTCGTGCCGAAGAAACACGCGTGCCGAAGAAACCCTCGTGCCGATGAAACGCTCGTGCCGAAGAAACGCTCGTGCCGAAATGCTATTGATGAGAGCCTGCTTAGAGGCCACATAAAATACTGACTAGTTCCCTTATTTTCTGCTTTCATTCGCGTCCACCGTTTCGCTGTCGAAAACATTTTGGTCTTGCACTCGCGTTCCATTAGAATCAACAGGTCCCTGATATTAATGTGAGCCTAAGACAGTGGTCCTTATTCTTCTTCACTTACCGTTTTGGCCGCGTTAGCCATGGGCTCAGGGAACTGATGCGTGAGAAGAGCCAGCATTGCAGTGAACGAACAGAGGGCAGCGGTAAAGAGAATGAAGAAAGGAAGTTCTTTTTTGGGATAAACGGACAATTCGTGATGATCTGAAACAAAGCAGAACTACACTATAGTGAAAGTAGACATGTCTTCTTCCACATATAACACTATGTAATGTTATTTCAAAAGAACAGCATCATCTCAGCTGAGAACAGCAATCCATTTAAGGTTTTGTGCTCAGTCACCAAGCTTCTGAACCAGTTCGAGGCTGAAGGTTACCTACCCATGATTCAAAGCTTATGGCCCCTCATATCGATAACTCCTCTGTTATGATATTAAGTGGTTCCATGTCAATGCCATGACAAGGTCAAAATAAGCCTTACTCCTGGAAAAACCTGAAAGGAAAGCTGGGAAGGAATAGACTAAACCTTACTTGGAAGAAGTTCTCTGTCAGCGTTTTCGGTGCATGCTGGGTACGGATGAAATAAATGTCCCTTCTCCAGTGGGTAGGGGACGAGACGGAATGCTGCGTAAAGAAAAAAATATGTGGTACGTAAAAACTTCCCTTCCTTAACCGAAAAAATAGAGAGCAAACTAGCATAAGGAAGATTACCAAACAATATTCAATATGAAAATACAAATTATACAAGCGATGAGAATTGCTCACTGATAAGAGACTTATGTCTGGTTTTAGCATGACCACTTACTCTGGTTTCGGTTTCAGACGGAAATAATTTTGCAAATCACGCTGGGGCGCAAACTGCTCTATTACGCAAATTCAAGGGTAATTTTGTATTGGTAACTGAGTTGATAACCTACATTGGCCACCGTTAAGAGTTTCAAAACTGACATTACGAGCGTTAGCCCTTCGTCAGAGCGAAAGGTCTGCATTGGTCAGCCGCGTTTTCCAGCGCTTTGCGCAATTTGCTTGATTCAAGTGTGAGTTTTCATTAACTTCCAGTAACAAATTTTTCATCGTGGTGATTGATCATTGCCATTATTTTGGCCTTGGTTCTACGAAACTCGAAAAAGTCATTTAAATCTACTCAAAATTCCACAATACATTGATTGTATTGTAAGACAGCAAGATATTCTTATAAAATCGTGGCAGTAAAAAAAAAGAAAAAAAACACCCATACTTCCTTCCCAAGTACAGTGCAGTAAATTGAGCGCGCCTTCCACTCTTTTCCAATGAGGTAAATGGAAAAACGCGTACGCTATCGCTTCGCTGTCTCCTCGTTTTAAAATATGCTCTGGAGGAAGAATCAAACTCTTCTGTTCCAGGAGATACTGTAAAAAAAATTAACAATAAAACAGAGAAGATAAAAAAAAATAATGAACTTAAGAGTGTGCGTGACAGGCAACAGATCCGCCGCCAAGAAATTTTTGGATGGTTCCTATTTCTCATCCAATCATAAGACAAGCAGCGACAGAAGTGACACACATAGCCGACGTTTCTTTGGTTTTTCAAATCTCGCGACAGCATTAATAAAGAGAAAATTTATTGTCAATCGTCTAGGTCCCTTGGCCAATCAGAGATCTGATTAAACGACGTTAAATTATTGGAAAAAATTATGTCTGACTTCCATTCCACTTCTTAATCAACGTTTAAATCATGTGACCACATCCTGCCAAGGCTAACCAGTGTTTTGAGAAAAATTCGACTGAGAAAAATACTTTAAACACTAGAAGTAATTTCTCTAGTCAGCTTCCCTCAACAAGGTGGAAATAATAAGCAAGGCTGGGTGCAAAATAATTAACGATCGGCGAGAAAGCAACAAAAGGGGCACAAGTGATTAATGACAAGGTGACAAACTAACAATTGGCCAAATTCTTACTTTAGGAACATGAGGATTAAACTCCACCGCTCTATGTATGGCTTCTACTGCAGCCATCTCCGCTGGACTTAGCCCTCTTTTGGCTGCAATTTCAGGAGAGAATCTGTAAAGCAAAGAGGATTAATTGTGAAACCCTAACTATCCTAACCCATGAAAGGAGTCTCTGGAATCTGGTGCTTAGATCCTTTCACTCCCACCATCCGAAGCTTTCTTCTCCTTCAAGTTTTAGACATTTTCATAAATGGGTAAAAAGAATTTGTTATGATTTCTATGTAATACCCTTTAACTGATCAGTGTCTCTCTTCTCATTCCCTTTTTTGTCATAAACGCGATGATAATACGAGGCGAAGTCACAAGTTAATACACTGTGGGTCTAGGAGGTCAACAGTATTGGGTTGAAAGAGAAATGGAGTTGCCATGTCAACTTTAGCCTTTAAACCTCTTTCACCATTTGAAAACTGGTGTTTTCCCGGAGCATACAGTCAGCGACATTAGGTAAATTTAATACAATTCATTTCGCTGAAACCCTGACGCCAAAAAACGACATAGGAAAAACTGCTTCTTTTCACAAAAAGCATCCGAGTGAAAAGAAACATTATTCGCCTTCAGCCAGAATTTTAATGTAATTCCAGTTACAAAATATTGAACATAAATTCCTATTCATGCCACTCTTTCTTTCGAGAGGCCTGCCACCTTTGAGAAGTTTCCCATTTCAAAACAAAAGCTCATTTAACAACTAGCAATGCACCCAAAAACCTGTTTTCTTACTTGTCACAGACAGCTCTGGCCTTGAGAAGTGCAGCAGAGTAACATATTGTAGCCGACTTTGGAAGACTTATATCTTGACAAGGAAAAAAACCAATTAATATACTTTATCGGGACAAAGAGTAAAAACAAACAAAAATTCAAGACAAATTACAGATTTAAAACACTTACCATCGTATTTAGCTAAAACTTGCTGTTAAAGGAAAATAGAAATGCGTTACAAGTAAGTATAAAGACAAGTGTACAACACTCTGACATAGGGAGTAACAAATCTTTTATTTATCTTTACAAGAGTCAAGCAGCTCTCTCGTTTATTTCATTACCTGTACTTCTGAGTAAGCTTGCATTTCAAGCAAAGCCTCCAGAAGATTCTCGTGGATGTTAAGAACACTCATAAGAGGAAACTCTTTCATGAGCTGCAAAAAAAAAAAAAAGGAATGACTCAGTAAAGTAATGACTCAAGTAAAAAAATAAAAACAAAAGCAATAGATCATATATATGCAAATTGATCTGAAGTGGTCACTGATCAGCTACAGAGCTGTGCTTCAAGAAGTACTTCCAAGTGCATGATAGCTTTTGTCACAGAAAACAGAAGTCTCAGGTACTTAAAAGTAGCAGTCTGAACTTGTGCCAAGTGGCTCATGTAGGCAGAGCTTATCCCAGTTTTCATGGCAAGACAAGACTACTTCCCCACACCCCTCCCCCCTGTTTTGCACAAGAACATAACGACCTCTCAACCCATAGTCCAGTGCACTCAGCATTTGGCCACAGCCTTTCCCCTGACACCTAAAAGCATGGCTAAGTCATCATCAAGCAATTAAAATTATGAATATGCAAAGTTAAGAGAATCAAACATACATCTCTCATCATTTTAATAGCCTCCTTTACTCTTCCAAGCTTTCTTGCACACATGGCTAGTCTTCGTCTTATATAAACACAGACATTGGTGTCTCTTCCTAGAATAAAAACAAAAAAAACAAACATAAAAACTTAGAGGCTTAGTTGTCTCTGCACTTGTAATATTCAGATGCACAAAGGGGATGGCTCATTTCTATCACTTATGAAGGGAAAAAGCTCCTGAAACAGGCTGATAACAACATATGGAGACTAAGAAAACATTATTTTCTCAATCAAGTTCTTAATTTAGAAAAAAAAAAAAAGACAAAGCAACAACAAAAATAAAATCATGATCTCAGCCCATTATTGAGACAAGATCAAATTCTTGTTTGTCAATTCACAGTAGAATTTCTGAAATTTATTGTTTATATGAAAATGATTATTGTAAGTTATATAATTATTATTATAATCATCGATGACAATATCATTGATAGTATTGCAGTTATCAATGATTATCATTGTTGTTTTTGCTATCACAATTTTATTATCAAGGATTTTCACTCACTGTGCAAGGCTTCCTCTTTTGTGTCTGGGTTCACTGTGGCATTGTTCCGTAACAAAGCTTCACTTGCTTTCAGTGCTTGTTTGAACAACTTTTCAGCCTGGAAATGAGCAACCATGGATATGATATGGGGGAAAATCTCTCTTTTACTCTAAGTTAAGTCTTTCACTTCCAAGATCTTTTTAAGTAATTCTCTTTACAGTCTGCTGTACAATTCTTATGATGTTTGTTCAGAATACTTGGTATTGGATGATGTAATAATGCCCGAATTGACATTTGTCTTTATTCTCATCACTTGTCTGCTTAATAATGAATTGATATTGCAAGAAGAAATTCTGTCTTGATCACTCATGAAAATTAAAGGGTTAAATCCATGGAAAACCTTGAATTTAGTTGCAAGAGATGACTATACTTACCTCATCAACCCTTCAACTCTGAGAAGTGATTAACATGTAAATTCTCCCTTTAATACCCTTACATTATCCAGAAAACAAGTAGTGAGGATACTCAAACGTATCAGTTAAAAGTTGTTATCTTGATCTTTCACCAAATTATTGTAATAATTTACAAGGAAATGTGTAGCAGCTAGAGGGCAGAATCAACAATCAGATCTTGGGATTTTAGGGCAAAATTCCTAAGAAGGGTGTGCAAGATAGCCAACCAAAGAGCTAGGGGAGGGGTGGAAAGGTATTAAACTAAATCTAACCCTTCTTAGAAGGGGTAGTGATATTTCCTAAATGCAATTTCCAATGCTTTTTTTTAATTCAAAAACATTTCTTTTTTCCTCACCTCTAGAATTGTTTGAGCCTCCTCTTCAGCTAATAAAATAAGTGCTGTTGGACTACTGTTTTAAAAAAATAAACAAGTTTATAACAATGGATGGAGGATTGTTGTTTTTGATACTTTTTTTGTGATTGCTGGAACTGTAGCAGATTTCTATCGATATAGTTAACCCTTTTAGTCTCAAAAGAGATTAACATGTAACACATCTCTTAAATATCCATACATTATCTAGCAAACAGGCAATCAGGATACTCAAACTCATTGGGTAGAAATTATCTTGATCTAACACCAAATTCTCCTTACAAATTTACAAGCATAGCAGCTAGAGAGAAGAATTAACAATCATAGTTTGGGAGTTAACACGTTTGCCCAAGAACTGAAAACAGTCTTTTCATGATACATACTTAGCATTATGTTCTAAAGCTTGGTGAGCTGTTTTGATTCTCTTTTCTTGATCTCTTTCCCGCCATGCTCTTAACATTACTAAAAAAAAATAGAACATTTAAAATATTCAGTATTAATACTGGTCTGTTTCAGCACCCAACACTGGAAAGAATTCATCAAATAAGTACAAATTTCCGCATAGAGTTATTAAGAGAAAAAAGAAAGCCTGCAGGTAAGAAATGAGTTTTAAGGAAAATTAACCTTTGACCCTCGGGAGTGATTGGCATTGAATTTCTCCTCACAGTATCACCCCTGAATCACTTATTACGTAGACAAGAATAAATAATGGTAATTGAACTTCATGCTGTGCATTATATGAGTGTTTTCAAAATTGAATGAGCATGCAGCACAAGTGTGATTTAAAATCACAGGTATGATTTCAGACCAAAATTGCACAATCTAAAGTTCAATTATCACTTTATTGCTACATCCATTTTGAAATGAAAAAAATTCAGTCACTCAAATACAGGATGTTTCGGTCTGTGCAAATATTTTACTGCTCCAATGCTGAGCTGGTTTCTACAAAGTTGAAAAGTTGTCCTTCATTTTCCTCTAATTTGATTTGTAATTTTAACAAAGCTTTGAAATCTGATTGGTTGTTGTCTTTTAGTAAAGCAGTGTCATTGGCTGAGAAAAAGACATAACTTAAAGGGAAAAAATGGTGTGATTTTTGAATTAATCACATTGATGAGAGCCAATGACATAGCAAGGATCACCACTGATTTCAAATTAGATACAAGTAGGATATGTTCACCAATCTAAAGAATCTCTTGATTGTCAAACAAATTCTCCTTGTCAGTACATTGGAAAATGCATAAAGAACAGTATAGAGAATATACATTCTGAGGCCAGGGTATAAAGGGTTAAAGTACCAATAGAAGTAGACAGTTGTTAAATATGAACGCAATTTCTTAATAACTTTTTGTGCTAACTTATCATGACTGGCAAGTCCTTAATACTTCCGCATAGCCCTCCCAAACAGTTCTGAACAGCTTTAGATGCTAATACTCACACTCATCAGAAGGATCAGAGCTTTCGGCATCAGCATCACAAGTAAAGAAAGTCTTCCATGAAAAAACAAACAAACAAACAAACAAAACATGTTTTAAACAAATTCAACAAGTTATTGCAATTTTTTAAAATACATCTTTATGCTTGACATCAACATTCATGACATGTTACACTAGAAATTTTCCTCTCAGTTTGACCACATATATAATTACTTGTGAGGTGCAAAAAGCACAATAAAAAATGCTAACCACATTATAGAGATGTTAGGATAACTTTAAAACTTTGCATAAAGTGATCATAATTTACTGCCTCAGACTTTCCTTCTTGGTTTAATAAATTGCTTCAAAAAGGAGTTCGATGGGACTAATCCATGTAATTATGCATCATGGATAAAGGGGTCACTTTCTAAAGAAACTGTGGTGCTGCGTCGGTGAGAGAGTATAACAGAGTACTTTAGTATTATCAACTTTGAAACTCTTTTGCATTATCAACTCAGTTGATAATACTGTATTACCCTAAATACGTACTATGTTTATTTTGTAACAAAATTAATACCTGGTGATCCTGAGCCGATAAATTCATGTCATAATATGTTAATGGCTCCTTCCCAGTCACCCAGTAATACCTGTCATAGGTAAATGTTTATTAAAGTTTTTTCAGATCTAATGCTGTACCAGGGTTAGAAAGACTGAAAGCAGCACACGCACCTATTATACTCAGCACCTCGGAATAGATTCCCAGGATTTCTCCATACTTTACACTCTAAAAATTCAAAATAGAATGTGTCTTCCATATCAGTGAATATACAAGTACTGCAAAATTCTGTAGATAGGTTTTTCTGCATTTAGGATAGAAATAAACAGAACTTGATGATTTCCATAGGAACTACAAAAGCATCTGCTAGATTAAAGTGGTTATGCACTATTTTGAAACATTTACATAACTTGCGTGGTGATAAGTTTATGAATAATAAACTTTTACTGAACAGCTGTGAGGAGATAGGCAAGCTAATTAACAATTCGCAAAAGATGAGTTTTAGAAAAAAAAGTTACCAGAATCACTAAACAGCTTAGCATTATCTTTCAAGTCATAAATGACATGTCATGTTTATCTAATACATGTGTAAAAGAGATATGCTTTTCACGCCAGACACAAACATAAATTGAACTCCCACTCAAAGTTTGTTAGCATGTTGCATATTATATACAGCGCACCTGCAACATTCTGCTGTGTATTCTGTGGAGTACTGTCAGAGCTTCCTAACAAGGGTCCCAGATGTGACAGGGACACATGCTCTATAAAGGATGTTCCATACTTTCGAAAGTACCACCACTCAAATATCTGATGTAAACAAATGTGAGTAACATTATTCAAAATTGTTCACAAGTATCACTAGGAATTTTCTCACACAAAAGAATTCCTGAGGTCAGTTTACATACTTTATAACCCCTAAACATAATTTTTTTACAACAAAAAAGGTTTTTGTGGTAGTTTGGGTAAATATAGAGTTTTTGAAAGACGGTAAAAACAAAAGATAAAAAAAGTAAACGTTGTGAATTTTTGGTGATCATTTGATGTTATTTTTCTGCCAAATATCTTGCATAAATTATCCTATTGATCACACTTGTTTGACCAGGTTGGCTGGTTATTTTTTTTATTTTTTTTTTACTTCTTTACACACTCGAATTTTGTCTTGGTCTTTAAAGACCTTGATAGAAAAAAATGAATAAAAGAAACAGAGAGCTAACGATCTAACTGCTTTTATTTAGTATAAATCTTCCAGTCAGTCATAAGTTAACAAAAAGACAGGCTCATGTTTTTATTTTATTTTGTTTACAACCACACCCTGTTAGGCCGCTCATGTTACTCCCTCTCTCAGAATTGACTGTATGCAGGGTAGCCAATCAGATTGTAACATTTATGATAGATGACTAATAAATCTACTAATTTACTGCATGCTTGGTCAATAACACACAGGAATACAGACCGATAAGACTTCAAGAAGACAAAATTATTTGTACTCACAAGAATAATTCCTGAGATGAATGACGATGTTCCCGTAAGAGCCACATAAAACTTTGGAGTCAGTGTGTTAAGAAACAATATGGCTGAAAAATTATATCATTTATTTCAATTGTGGTAAACCCTATCATGCAGCAAATAAAAGTATATGAAGAAGTTTGACTATTTGAACCCTAAGAGTGACTAGTATCTAATTTCTCCTTACAAGATCACCTCTAAATCAAACATTAAGGTGATGAGAATAAAGGAAATGATCACCAACTAAAGATGCTCTTAGTTGACAAATTCTCATTGTCAGCACCTTAGGAAATGTTTAGGAAAAGTAAGGAGAATATGCATACTGATGTTAGTGTGTTAACCCTTTAACTCCCAGATCAAATTGTTTATTCTCCTTATTGTCAACCATACAATTCTTACAATATTAGTTCAGGGAATTTACTACTGGATCAACTAATTATTCCCAAATTGACATTTTTCTTTATTCTCATCACTTACCTGGTTGTTATTGTATTGATATTTTGAGGAGAAATTCTGCCATAGGAGTTAAAGGGTTAAGGGTTAAAATTATTTCAGGTTCTAATGATTTCCAAATTGAACCAGTGCACAGTGCAAGTTTGATTTGAAGACAGACCAAAACTGCACAACACAAAGTTCAGTTAGCACCATATTACTACCATTTTAAAATCGCAAAAAATTAAGTTACTCAAATGTAAGATTTTTTAAGTCTGTTCAAATATTTTATTGATCCAGTACTGACCTGGTTTGTAAAAAATTGCAAAATTTGTCTTTCATTTTCGTGTCATTTTATTATATCATTAGTTTAAACAAGCTTTGCAATCTGATTGCTTGTTGTATTCTTGTAAAGGTTTCTCACTGGCTGGAAAAAAATGCAATTTAGAGCAAAAAAAATGGAGTAATTCATGAATAAATTGTACTGATAATATATTTTATATAATTTTAAAATGGTAGTAACAAATAAAATAATAATTCAAGGATCAAATCAATTACAAGGCTAACACTGGTTCACTGAAAAGTTTCAATTACCTAACACTGTTTAGTATGAAATTTTTGGCAAAAAGTAACCAGATATGTCATTGTCATTGTCATTGTCATAGCTGATAAATGGATCATCACCTTATCACTTTTAATTACTTACAAACGGATCAGAAATTTTTTATAAAGAAAAATGAATACGAAATATGCGAGGAAAATTCACCAGCAAAATTGGTAAAATAATTTACCTGGTTATGATAACACTGCATGTACTTAAAATTTAACGTTTTAAGGTTGACGTAAAGTCCAATATTCAACAGACAAAATGATGTCCCCTCCCACTCCAAAATAATGGAGGTAATGAGTGGAAATGATTCACCGTACGACCAAACACTTACACATCGAAGATCAAAAGGTCACTCGACAAATCAAGTTTTATAAGATATATTTTTAACATAAAATATGGGAAAATTCGTTGAAACGATAGCAGTTTCAAGATGAAATTGAAATTAGTTTTATGCGAAAATTCTTTTTATTAACGACAAATGACGACTGCAAACAAAGAACGCGAGCCGGTGAAAACAGCTGACATCACAGTGTTATCCTTTCATCGGTCTCAGTTGTCATTTACTATTTTTTTCTCGTAAAAAATCCACGTCTTCAACAAGAAAATCAAGTATCAAAAAGGAGAAAAAATAAGTAAAAAATTTGTTTTTATTGAACATTTCAATATGATTGTGGTCTGACCTTCTATAGCAGGGGAGGGCAATCATTTTTTAAGAAAAATTAGCACGGCGCCAATGTCTTGATTTTTCCCAGAAAACGCAATGAATATCAACGACCCACCTAGATTCAAGTTTTCTTTCAAGCGAAGAGGTGTGCGGAGCACATAGAGTAGAAAAATGACGAGAAGGAACCAAAATCCCCACAGATAAGTCCAAGACCAGCCAATCCACTGCTTAATTTTACCAATTGATCGCTGAACTCCGCTCGCTTCATCCGCCATATTCATCACAATAAGATTTGTGCGCCTGCGTTGAGTGTCAGAGGTCTAGACTCGGTCTAGACTTCAAGGGTAGGCGCGCGGTCGGTAAGTACTGCAAAGGGAGAAATTCGGGAAGGAGACGAAGGCAATACAGAATCAAAGAGACGCGACAATGGCTTAGGCCAGAACAGATAAAAACAGAACACAAGAAGGGGAAAAAGAGCCTTCTGAAAAGGTTTTTCCGAAGTTTGACGAGCAAAGCAAGTCTTATTTTCCAGGCGCAAGAAACAATCGTTTTCCCGCCAGGATGGTGGACGCGAAATTCGTCAAGACAAGTTGCATCAGAAAGAAGAAGGAGTAAGAGGAGACGAAGAATGAAAAGAAAACAGAAGAAGATGGAGAAGAAGGAGATTAAGAAAAATAAAAAGAAACCTCCATTCGTGCAATTTTAAGTTAGTAAGTACAAGTTTATTTCTCCACGACTACAAATTACACTAATGATCGAGGGTTTGTGCTATTGTTGTAGGGTTTGAAAACTTTACTTGTGCGTATTTTTTTCAAAATTAAAATTAAATTAAGGTTAGATTATGACGCAACATAATGGGTCCAAGAAAATTGGACTATGGTGCATCATCTTAGGTCCACAAATATTGGACTATGATGCACTAGTATGGGTCAAACGGTGTTAGACTATGATGCTCTAAAATACATTCAGCATCGTTGGGCTATGATGCATACAGCGATGTCGGACTAGCAATCAGAGTACAGGTCCACCAGTGTTGGACTCTAATGCTCCAATATGGGTCTAGCAGGGTTTAACTATGGTGGGCCAGTATATGGTATGAGTTCCACAGTGTTGGAATATAGTGCACCAACACAATTTTAGCAAGTAGTTGCTAAACAAATGTTGTTTTGATATGATTGCAACAATGTAGGGCTATGAGGCACCAGTGTAGTTCCAGCAACGTTTCTCTGTAGTGCACTAGTAAGGTTCTAGCCCATGCTAGACTTCCATGTACCAGTATGTGTCCAAAAATGTGGGACGATATGCACCAATGTTCCTGAAACAATTTTGGACTGTAATGTGCCAATATGGGCACAGCAAGGTTAACTTAAATGCACCAAGGCGTTTCCCATAAAGCTAGATTTTGATGCACCGATAGGTATCCAACAATGTTGAGGAAGACAGTAAACTCTGATGACCTTGATAGTTTCAGTAAGTGCAGAGAATCAATTGTTAGATGACACCTATTGCAGAATATTTGAGGTTGAACTAGCATCACCCATGTTGTTACAGAGGACTCATGACCTTATCACTCAAAGAAATGACTAATAAAATAGTTCATCTTTTCAGAATTAAAGTAGTACTTTCCAGCAGATAGGTAACGAGTTACGAGAAAAATATCAACAACAGGATTTTACTTGATTAGACAGCAATCTTTCAGAACCAAAACGATGTGAAATGTAGATAGTAAGGAAGGAGTTACGGTCAAGTTAAGTTAAGGAGTTCATTTCATAGCCACTGACCTTAGGGATGTGACAAAGAGCCATGTTATTTAAGTATTAGTGGTTGAAATTAGAAAAAAGTTTCAGTGTTAAATTTCAAGCGTGTTCGATTGTTTTTTTATAGGCCGCATTTTCACCAGAATGCTGCACTAAGGACTATCACACATAACATACATTTTTTTCTGAAGTAATACCGTGGGAATCGTGAAATAAATCACGCGAGATTAATTGGTATGTTCAGCTTCGGTGGGATTTGAACTTTCTGACCTTATGTGGTTTCATTTCCTTTGCAAAGCAACCGCCCACGTGATCAGCACTCACGTATCCTATTCCAAATTTAAATAGTCGCGTGCCAAAGACTCTTTTTAAAACGTCACTTTTACATGCATTGTTAGATCTGTCATCAAATGCCTGAAAGGCAAATGAATTGTGATCAGTAAATCGCCATAATTTTTCAAATACTTTATAGCGAAAAAACAGAAGATGATAAGCGCGAAATCAAAATTGAAATTGAGTTTTGTTCCAAATGATTTTTAATTTCCAGTAGGTAGCCAAGCTCACGGCAGCGTCTTCCGGTTAAATTATCGCGTAGATCAAAGGCAATTTGTGAAATTTACAAAACGTCTGATCATGAACACTGGGTGTCTGGAGCGAACGAAGTCGAGTAAAATGGACAAGTTTCTCCAGAAACAACGAATGCTCGACAGAAATGATGTAGATCCGAAAAATTTAACAAAGAGAATGTTATTTGGCAAACCCTGTTAGTTGCAAGTCCTACATGGTTTACCACGTACTTATATTAACCGCAATGTCATCTCAAGCTTGTCAGCCGAAATATTTCCGGAGTGTACCCAAGTCTCCCTTTCAGATAGACAACGCCTGCCGACTTAAAATAAAAGTCGTTTGTATAAAGTTCAGAAAGAAAACGCTATGCTTTATTCACATCCGACGCTCTTATTTTCTAATGAAGGGCTAGAGCAGTAGAGGTCTTGGACAATGAAGAATGAAACAAACAAACAAACAAACAAAACAACACTTACAAACAGGCCACTAGATAAACGAGAACAGAAAAAAACACAAAGGTTGGGAGGATTGTTTATTCTGTACGAGCGAGAGGGAACGGAAGATTCAAAGCTTCAGGGCGTTTCTGACTCAGCCTTCATCAGGAAATCCTTCAAGTTGGTTGCTTAAAATTTTCAAGTCTAACTTTCCGTTTTGCGTGTAAGATGAGCAGGAAAACTAGCATCATATGTTCGCTCGTGTTATTTTTAATTTTAAGTGCGGTTTATCTCAGCTTTCATATGCCATCATCTTTCCAAATAAAGGCCACATCACACAGAGGGGGGTCTAACGTCAGCATTCTATTTGGGGCCAGTGGAGTACTTCAAATTTTATGGTTTTAGCAGCGCGTGATTTTAATTTTTGAAGTAATAAATTTTACATTTAGGTTATAACTCGAACTGTTAATTCATATTACTGCTCAAACGTGGAGTATGTGATAAGTGAGTGTCAAAATGAAACGACGTAAAATGCCTTCTTTAAAGCACGTTCCGCATGAACTGGAGGTGACATTATCTCCGCAAATTTCAGTTCTACGAAGAAATACTCGGCAATTTTTAAATTGAGGAATTCTGGGGCTTACAACTTATTACAGGAGGTCTCTGGCAAGAAAAATTTGCCAAATCATAAAATTTCTATCGACTTTCACTCACGTGTGCTGCAACACGTAATGAATTGTGTACAAGTACGGATTGTGAAATGGTTAGTGCCCTCCGGCGTTAGGGCTTGTCGTCCATAACAAGCAAATAAAATTTGTCAAGAGGAAAATTGTCAAATAAATTTGTCAGTGACGGTTGTCAAGGAAAAGTCGCTCGTCTGGAAACGGCTTTCAGAAAGCCTAAAGCTCTGCCGGATATAACTGCACTGTCAATGTCACGAGAATGCCGAAAAAGAAAGGGGAAACTAAAACAGGAAAAACTAGTTCGAAAAGCCGTTGAGAGAAAACATGTTCTTCGCTTAATTTTCGTGTACATGCACCTTACGTTGAGATTTAAGAGTTATCGAGCAGACATTTTACTGCACCCCGCTTAAAGCTTCTCTGTGCTCGGGAATGGCTGAAGCATAGATGTCAGGGAAACACATGCATCCCCGATGCATGCTCGAGGAGTTTCAGTGATATTCCAAGTTGCTTCATGATATAGAAACCGGAGTAAACTCAGGGCCTACTTTTTCAGTGTACACTGTCACATATTATTCTAACCACGGTCGGAATCAGAAAATAGCTAACGGCACTGAAAGTCGTAAAGATTTTTTTGACTTAACTCCTCAGCAAATCCCTCACGCAAAGGCAAAAGCGTTAGAGCTGAGGGTTATGAGCTGAGAGTTTGCATCACCTTCTTTCGTTCACTCACTCCCTCCGCCTCGTCTCCAATTTTAATTTTTATTCGCTGGAGTTTGACTGCTGGGATTAGATCATAGGTAAGAGCATACGTTTCCTACTAACTGATATCATTTTTCACTCAGCCTTGTCCGCTTCGAATCCGTTTTATTTCTTGGTTGATATATTTCTCTCAAATTACTGAATGTTAGCGAGATTAGAGAGAAATTTACTGTACTTGCAGCGAGTAAATAACGTGCGAGTTCTTTATTTTACAAGTTGCATTTAATGAGCCATTCTTGGGCGCAAGAAGTTTCTCGAAAACTTAACAAATACAGCAACGAATCCCTGAAAAGATCAAAACACCGTGTCAAGCCTTAACCCATGTCTCCTACGTCATTTTCACTTGTTTCCTTTCAAAACCCGTCATGGCAGAAAACCACAGTGGGCTATTTTTAAACTTTCATTTTCAATTGAAATTCGGCGCTTGTCACGGTACTTTTGTTTGTGTCTGTAAGAATATCCTAAAGTTGACGAGTTGCTATTATTACATAAACCACTTGTTTGAAACAATTTTATCACTTATTGCTTGAAAGTGCGGTATTTAGAAAGAACAGTGAAGTCTGCGGAGGTTTTTAGTCGGAATATTAATAGAGTGATAAATAGATTGATTTTCACACATTTGTTGTGGAGGCTCGCGGCTTGCAAACACTCGCCACATCAGGACAAGTTTAAAAGTTGAGTTACGGGATATCACTCAAGAAGAATTTAAACAGTAGCCAAGAACGTGAAGATGGTGCCCACCTATTCCCAGCCATGACTGTTGTCTTTTTTGTCTCGACTATTTGGTTGATGAGTTTATTAAAAAAACAGAACAGTACACATGCAGAAATGCTTCACAGAACTTGCTGAAGGAATCTAACCGAAGTTAACCCTTGAATTCAAACACGGTTTTCAAAACCGCCGAATGTGAAGTAAAAATTATGCGAAAGTTGGGTCAACTTTGCGAATTACTACTTGTTTAAACGGTCTGGCTTTGACGTCTGATTACGTCCCAAGAGTAACAACCGGAAGACGTAAAGCCGTCAGTTTTAAAGGTGTCCGCCGTAATTAAATGTGAGTTCTTTCACGTAATTTCCACTGTGGCTTGGCCATAGATTTGCGAAAAGAACGCGTAATGAATTCTGTACAGCTAATGAAGGAGGTGTCTGCCGACAACAACCCACTCTTTTCTCTTGCTGTGCTTTAATCATTTCACTCTTTGCCACACACCTCCGGCCTTTTATGATTTCATTTCCTAATTTCTTCAAAGGGGAGTTCATTTTGCGCCGTGCCTTTTCTGTAAAAGCCAAACAAAGTGTGTGTAGACCATTGCAAAATTACAAACCTTCTTCTCGTCATGAACCGTGTGCGGGCAATAAACTTAACAACGTGTACGCAAACAACCTAAGAGTTTGCAATAACATTATCTTGTCAGTATACGTAATAGCAGTCATATTGTTTCGGTCGAGAATAGCGGTTTTGTGTTCCCGACTTATCATCACTGCTGTCCAGACAAAGATGACAATAAGTTCTCTCTGAAGAAATAGTTTCTGTAAGCACACACTTGGTACATATTCAGTAAGGTTCAGAAACACGACACGAAAATTAATATTCTGCAAAGTTTGTTCCACTTTGAACCTCCCTAGTTCGTCTTCTCTAAACACCGCTTAATGATCTTAACACGATCATTAGTAAAAATGCGACACCCTTTTACAATTGAATGAGGAAAGCTAATTGCACAAAGAAGTCCGCACTCTTGAGGAAATAATTCACAAAAGATAATAGAATTGAACGGTGGCGCGCAAAATAGAACCCCACCTGCATTTAAGACAAAAATATTTCACTTGCAACAGCTCCTTACAATTTTATCAGGCCGAATATCGTCGGCGTGTAATTGCGGGGAAGATCTACCCGAAGTCAAATTAATTTGAGTGTGAACTTTAGATACAAATTATCAGTGTTGACATTAAACAAGCGTAAGTGCTTTAAATATACAAACAAACTTATCAAAGCTCTCTATTGTTTGCATGAAGCTTTAGTATAATGGCTTTCAAATAAAAAGACCTCATTCAGTATCAATTACAAACGTTCCTTAACGTACTTAACATCGTTTTATCGAGACGGCTCGTCAATGGGAACACTGGAGTCCGGCAAAAGAGAGCTTTCGACCAAAATTTTGAGCGGTCGATTTTCTACACTATATCTTCGTGCGCAACTTAGAGAAGCTTGCTCTTGCATGAATAATAGCACTTAAGGGCTTGTTGTTAACTTCAAGAGAGCCGCCCTTAATTGAACTCAAGTTATAGTCTCTCAACCAATCAGCAATCTGTTATGCTCGTACTGTCTTAACCGCTATTGTGAAGTAATTTTAATACCTCAAACTCACATACCAATGGCCTGAGAAATGAAATATATAGTTCCTACAACACAGACGACAGTTTTAATCGCTTGAACCAGCGAAGCACACAGATTTGTTAAATATAACGCACGTCAGGACTGCGTTGGTAAAGTTACTCACAATGCCGACGCTAAATATTTGGTTTTTTACTTTAGCCCTGTTTACATTTCCGCTACTTTCGACATCTCACTGGTGGTAAGTTCTTCTTGAAAACTTTAACGCTAAAAAGATTATACGAAATCTTGTTACTAATTCTCGATTAGCGCGCGAATTAGTTGGGTAGTGTTGACAATTATTCACCTCGTGAATGAGAAACAGTTGCGCTAACTGATATTTTTATTTGTTGTAAATTCTCACCAGGTTCATGTCCCAAGTGTATGCACTGGGAGCCAAAGTCATGTGTAATAACATCGCCGGTTTGGTAACGTACCAAAGACAACTTTGTCAAGAAAACCCCGATGTTATGGTAAGCATTGGAAAAGGGGCTAAACTCGGAGTCGTAGAGTGTCAGCAACAGTTTAAAGACCAGAGATGGAATTGTTCAACGGTGGCGCGAGACGTCAGCGTTTTTGGGAAAGTGATGAGAAGAGGTAAATCTTCGTCTGTGAAAAAAGTCCGTCTTTTACTGAACTTTTACGGGTTTAAGATAATTACGGAAATTTTTTTGTTGATCATTAATTCCAGAGTAATTCGATGGCAATTAATGATTGAAAAAGTCAAACGAAATATTCTTCAATTGATCAAAACGGTGTGGTACTTAGACACAACACCATTTCAAGAGCTCCTCAAAGTTCTTACACTATATCAGACAATCTGTAATCTCACCGCTCAGAGACAACCGCTGTGTAGATGATAACCCTTCTTCATGTTTTTGCCGCATCAGTGCCGATTCACTAAATAGGTGCCTGATTTATTTATTTATTTATTTTTTTGAACAGCGAGTCGGGAAAGCGCGTTTGTCTACGCCGTTTCATCAGCCGGTGTTGTACACGAAGTAACGCGCGCATGTAGTCGAGGTGAATTGAGCGATTGTACCTGTGATTCGAATCGCAAAGGAAGAAGTCGGAAGGGCTTCGAATGGGGAGGATGCAGCGACAACGTCGCCTACGGTCTGAGGTTTGCCAAGCTGTTTGTGGATTCCCGAGAACAAGAGAGAGACGCACGCGCTAAGATGAATCTTCACAACAACTTTGTCGGAAGACGGGTCAGTAAACCTGCTAATTTCTCTGCTTTTTTATCAGCCTATTACAACCAAAACCAATAGCCACAAAACAGTGCCTCAAATTTAATAGACTGTTATAATTGTTTTCGTTTAAAATGTACTTGGGTGATAACCTTAACACAAGTTTTAAAAGCTCTGTTTATTTGTGTTTTGGCCCGTTCCTTCATTCAATATGAATTCTTCAAATTCATTCATTTCCCAAGTGTGTTATGACGAACAATACTCTGGGATAAGAATTTGCTTTCAAACGTAATCTTGTGATAATCGTGGGTGTTTACTAGAAAAGGTACGGCATCGTAAAATTGTCCGTATATTTTTACATTGACGCAATCGAACACTTTTTTTTAAATTTTATCTTGAGTCATACTTGTTTTTGGAAACTCAGTCAGAACTACTCAGCACTTTTCGCAGTTGTGTTTAGCCATTACCTTGTCCAACATTGCTTAACGCAGACCATCCTTGAATTTTGCTTGTTTGTACGCAAACAATCAAAACAGAAAAATTTGGTAGCTTATCTCAATCATTTCGATCGCAGGCCTATTTTAGTAATCCACGCAACATCGTCACTTTCTAAAAGAGTGTGTTTCCTTTTTACGGACGCATGTTTAGTTCTGCTTGGGAGAGCAAAGTAACCCTTTTTTGAAAATTAACGTTATGAGCGCAGGAAGCGAAATCTAAAGTTCAACTAAAAGCATGTGAAGTACTTTGGCAACGTGATGAATGAATGTTTACAGCACGAAAACTTTCTAAGTTTGTTTGCTGAAAATTTTGCTTGTGATTTCGCTTCCGCGACGCAAAAATTTCCAAAGTGTTATACACAATCTTCGAGCCTTAACAACGCCTTTTAGATGGCTACATGGTATACAGTTGTATGCAGTTGTAATGTTAAGATAAGACAATAAGTTACTCTACAAAAGTGTATCTTTGAAACTTACTCATGAGTATTCTTAGCTTTTATTTAACGGGAAACTGAAAAACAATTCGTTGATACTCAAACCTTTTCCGCAATTTTGTGGAACGTTCCAAGTCAGACTTTCAAGTACCTTTGTCAAATTCAAATGCAAGAATTTTATGCTAAAAATTTCTCTGTGGTCTAATCGATCAAAACAGGCGAATATCAAGGGGAAAAAAGTCACGAATGCGCATATTTCTTTCAAGGTAAATCACGAAACATTTCTGAGGGCAGTTAAGGTAATTAAAGGGCAAAGGGTCATGAATTGAAATATAGCAAACTCGTGGGAAATTTCATTCAAAGTACGCTCGCGAAGTGTCTCTTAAATTTATCTCAATCGATTAAATACATCGATAAGCTTGGATATAGATATTTTCCTAAAGTAGGGCGAAGCCTAACTATCGCATGTAGTTGCGGTTAAGGTTTGCAAACTGTCTTTTTTTGTTTTCGCTTCCTGTGTTCTTGAGTAGAAATCTTTGAGTGGAATAAACCGCAAACAATTTCCTTAATAATACTGATATTGATACTGTTTGTAATCAAATGCCTTCACGTTTTCTGGAGGCGATCAATGGACTCTCTGTATTGCAATCAGTATACAGTTTATTTGTTTGTTTATTCTTGTGTTTGATCAGAAGATTCGGACGGAATGTCTTTCCAATATCGCCGACTTTCCGGATTTCTTTCATTTTCAGGAATTTTTAAAATGTTAGTAAAAAAAAAACAACGGATTTTTCAATCAATGTGATTATACTTTCGGAGGGGGAACAAACATGATTTTCAGCAGGGGAAGGCTACTTCAGCGTCTCATTCACAGTAAGGAGCATAACTGGAGGTTTTTTTCATAACCTGTTCCTTCATCATATCATGAAGAGATCACATGTACAATAGCAACCCGCACCCTTCGCCCCTTTTTTTTAAACTCTCTTATGACTGTTTCCACTAAAAGTTTGCTATTTCTTGTTCATAAGCCAGCTAGAGGATATTTTCTTTAAACCCTTTAAACGCTAACATCAGTATGCAAATTCTCCGTACTGTTCTCTATACATTTTTTAAGAACTGACATGGAGAATTTGTTAAACAATCAAGAGTTTCTTTAGTTGTTGATCGTTTCCTTTATTCTCATGACCTTAATGTTTGATTCAGGGTTTATATTGTAAGGAGAAATTAGTCACCCTTAGGGGTCATAGGGTAAAATGATGAATATTACAAATTGAAAATGCGTCAAGTCTTGATATTTCCTTTGTTTTGCACCCTGATAAGTATATTCTCGTGATTAGTGATATATCATCGTGTCTGCCCTTCGTGATTGCGGTGCACAATTCAAGTTATTTAATGGCTCATTATCGAGAAACTTTTTTTTGTTTTGGCAACTGAAACATTTAGAAAATATTGATAACTTGTTTCTTTAATGGATCGTTATGATATTGTAGATACGATGTCGTGGAAGTCAAAATTAGTCTGATAATGTAATCCAAATTTTTGTGAAGGTAATATTTTGAAGAATTCAGTCTAAGGTTATTGCACGTCTGGTCAAATAAAGCTCATAAGAGTGGCCAGTAGCCACTCTCTCTACAGTAATACTGTTGAATCATTCATTAAGAACAAGAGAATAAAGGAAGTGGTCGCCAAACCTACTAAGATAGAAGTGTTAAACGAATTCTCCTTGTCAGGATTAAGAGAAATGTCTGGAGAAGAATATGGATACTGTGAATACTGATGTTACGGTGTAGAGTCAGTAAAGGGACAACCGTTTTGGAAAGCTTGGTATAAATGACAATGAAACTTTATTTACTCGTTCACCTTTTTTGGGGTCAAAATGAGATTTTTTCCTGCAAATATGGATTATCAAAAAAAATATTTCCCTAGTTCTTTACCGAGTTCAAAACTTACCATCTCTCTTATTTCTATCTACAAACATAATGCTATCGACATTGCTGATCCTAACAGTATGCAGGACGGGTATCATGAACTTCGTAATAGACCTCGCTCACCTTGGAGTGTCTGTGGCTCAGTGGTTAGAGCATTGAGGATGGAATTGGAAGGTCTGAGCTTCGATTCCTCATGGAATAAACCCTAAGCAATTTTTCCTTTGTCCTATGCTCGTGACAAGACGAAAAAAAACATCTCTCTCTATGGATCATCATGTTTTCGAAGACGCTCGGAAAAAGTCTAGAGCGAATTGATAACTACCGAAAACGTCTCGAAGAGTTCTTCCAATTTTAATTGTTGTTAAAAATAGGAAATACTGCAAAGTACGTTTCATAGGAAAAAAAGTTTTGATTTTTGTCCTTTGCATTAAGAGGAGTAAATCTCTCTTTCAGGCCGTTAAAATGCACACCATTCTGGATTGCAAATGTCATGGAGTATCAGGCTCATGTCAAGTGAAAACTTGCTGGAAAACTATGGCGCCTTTCAGTGTGGTGGGAAGTTATCTTAGAGACAGATACCAGAAAGGCATCTTGGTTACAGTTGATCAAAGCGGAAATGAACTGGTCGTGGCAGAAGGTACTTATCCTGCTACGCCTTCACGTGATAACCTCGTGTTCTTGGAGGAGTCCCCGGATTATTGTGTCCCAAACTCCAACACGGGCTCGCTGGGCACCACGGGAAGAGTGTGCAACAAGACCTCGCCGGGTCATGGGAGCTGTGGGGTTCTGTGCTGCGGGCGCGGATTCAACACGATTCAAGTAGAGGAGGAGTACAAATGCGCTTGCAAGTTTCACTGGTGTTGTTACGTGAAGTGCAATATTTGTCGGAGAACTGTTGACAAGCATGTGTGTAAATCGCCCGAGGAAGATTCTTCTCAGCACAACAGCTCCGGTCGCCATGTGTCGGCGCTGGCAAACTCAGAGAGCAGAGATCAAAATAGGCCAAATAATCAGTCCAGGAAAAGAGCTCAAAGAAGAAAGGCCAGGAAGAACAAGAAAAGAGGGGCATCAATCAACAGCCTCGACAGCGACCACAGAGATAACAAAAGCTTATGATAATTGCTTCCAGCCTCCGCAGACAGATGGCGCAGACAAAGCTCGAAATCAAATTGCCACTAAAAACTAAATGAAAATAAATTTATTTTAAAGAATGAAAAAATCCAGATTGGACCAATTAGTATTCCTTATGTTATAAGGAGTTGTATATATTATATACAGTGTGTTCTCGTAAGTACAAGATGACATCCAAACCACGATTCTTAGTTTGCAAATCACTCTTTATAATATTAGAAAGATTCGTCAATTATATTGACTCAACTTTGAAAGAGTACCTGATTGTTAGAAAAACATAAAATCTCGCGACGACTGCCACCACAACAACTGCCAGACACTGGTTCTCATGCGTCAGTTTCTCACCCTCGCTGCTGGTCACTTGTATTGACATATAGTTCTAATTAGCTAATTGTTATATCTCGTGATTTGATTGGTTGGTGTAATTGCTTACGTAGGACATTCAATTGAATCTCTCTAATAGAAAAAAAAATTGTGTTGAGACTTGACTTGAAAGCCTTTAGACATCTAAGACCAGTGTGGCTTTGAAAAAAAATCCTCTAAGTAAAAAAGAAGCAGGAAAAATAGAGCACACGCACAAACTACATTACTTTGGACGGAAAATGCTCGATAGCGATTTTCATTCGAATTTTGGAAATCGGGATCACAATTGTATAGGGAGAGTACGAGATTAATTTTAGCGATGTAAATCAGCTAATGTTATTTCTTTTGATTTTTTTGGTTAATTATTATAATAATTATTAATGTTAATATATATATTCAGACAAAGAGCTAGTACTTGTTAGTTCGCTTTTGCACAAGTGCTTTCAAGTACAACAGTAGTTATGTTAAGAATGGTACCGCGAATAAAGTTTATGACTTCTATATACGTTTGAAACGTGTTGTATGACTAGTTATATCCATTTTGAAATCACTGGTGATCCCTGTAATCTGATTGGCTCTCATTGGTGCGAGTTATTCACGAATCGCACAATTTTTCTGCTCTTAATCACATCTTTTTCCCAGCCAACGAGAAAGCTCTACTAAAATACAACAGTCAATCGATTGTTTAAAGAAACCAATCAAATTAAAGGAAAAAGGGAAAAAAAATTACAACTTTATATAAACTAGCTCACCTTGCATCACCGAAACATTTGTACAGGTTAAAAAAATCCTGTATCTGAGGAACTTAATTTTGCGATTTCAAAATGGATTTAATAGAGTAATAATTGAACTTCGTGTCGTGCAGTTTTGGTCTGAAATCATACTTGTGATTTCAAATCAAACTCATGCTGCGCATTCGTTTGATTTTGAAATCAAGCATACAATTTTGGACCAAATTGCACTCTACTCAGTTCAATTACCGTAATGTATTCTGCCTGATTAAATCTGTAGTACGCGCATTATTCTGACTGATTTAATCTGTAGTAAGCGCATTCTTGGCTAGTAGAGAAAAGGTTAGACGAGGTAACGGAAATTGGCATTACATGTTATTTCGCTTACCTCGCTCAAGTCATGCGCTTCTACACCCACTGTGGTCATTATGTGCTTTTTTGTTTCTCTGCCTCCTTTAATTAATGTATTTCCTTTGCCGAACGAATCGCCATACCAAAAAAAAAACCACACCGGAGACAGAGAAATACACTCATGAGGTGAACTGACTCACCGCCGCACCTAAATTAAACGCCGGATTCGTATAGACGCCCTGGGCAAGACTACTAATTTAGAAATTAATCCCCCAGTGGTTGATCAGGGCCCAAACTTATATTTGCGCCCGCGATAACAAATCACTAATCTCTATTGAATGGCACCGCTGCGACGCAGTGGTGCTTTTGGGGGTGGGGGGGGGGGGGGGGGGGGGGGGGGGGGGGTCGGAAGGTTAGAGCATTTGTTTTGGGGGGTGAACAGAGAGGGATCAGTCGTAGCCAAACGATTATAGCTGGGGACACTACAGAAAATTGACTGCTTATGAGGGGAATCCTTAAAATACTATTGTGGCACAAACAAAATAGGTGGTAAATAGGAGATATTGACCTAAAAAATTAACAGAAAAAAACGGCAGTCCGCCTATAGACACCACGCTCCTTGAACACTCGCCTCGCATAACGGCCGGGTTCCTCGGGCCAAGTTGGAAGAAAACGTTAGAGTGGCATTTAATAATGGAGAAAACACTCCGCTTTTCAAAGTATTGCGGGCTCAATCAAGCCTTCAAGGACATTTAGTGTTTATTCTTTGGGACCGAACGTTGATTATTTTCAAGATTCGGTGATGAGGTTTGATCAGATAAATATTCGAACTCGAAACACGACTTAGAAAGGCGGCCTGGTGAATGTATTTGCGTAATGACCAAGAGACACAAACTCAGCTCGTAAGTGTAAGCATTTTCTATTTAAACCATCACCAAATCTCGACAGGAGGTGCTCAAAAAGGGCGTTAATGCGTAAATTAAACAGCTGGTAGTGATGAGCAAAAAACCTTTGGGAGATATTTTACTACGATGTGAGTGAAATCAAAATATTGTGAAACAGTCAGGCTAGCTGTTATCACACAGAACACTTTCTTACCATTGTATTCAGTTATAAGAAATAAATATTTCGTAGACGACAGGATCAAAGGTGTTGAAAGAAAGCTAACCAACCTTATTAAGTAATTTCATCAAGTTGATGTGAACATGTTGGCACGCCAACAGGAGGAAAAGAATTGTAGAATGCGCCAAGCTTAGCAGAAGGCAACACGGAGTTTTTACTAGTCCTTTATTTAATTTTTTATTATTTGTATCTTCTCATCACCCAACCACTCAGTGCTACAGTTCTGATCGAATAAACAACAATATACTCAATTCTTTTGATCAAACATCTAATCTTTTTCTGTAAACCAAAGTGATTTGAGAGAGAGAGAAAAGAGAGGATTAATAAGTTATTCATCGGCTTGAGGTAGCGACCGACGTCTTTGCTTAAAAATACTGCCCAGCCGGAAAAACGAGATATAATGACGAAAATTGGCGATGATGGTAGGAATGTACCGTGGGCAGAGATAGGAAAATACGGACCGCGCTAAGAACCAATCAGATTGCAGGGTTCGTCACCGTGCTCTCTGAGAAAAAATATTAACTTTTTATCAACCAAGCGCGAGGGCCGTACTAGGGAATTCTGGCCTGAGGACCGAGGATGTGGCACGAGCAAGCAAGGTTATTAATTGGATTATAATATAGGACTCCTAACAAACTCACCGGAAACACACGGCTTACGACCGTTTCCGTGGAAGTGGTCGTATGGTAGGATTCCGACTGAGTAAGAACCAATCAGGACGTTCGCCTTTACCTCAAGCCAACCTTGCCATATGATAGTTGCTGTTTGTTGGAAACTGTACGATACGTTAATTATTCTCAATTTGATCGACATTTATGAGAGATTTCGTTTATATATACATAACTGAGCAAACCTGTATGCAGCACGTGTTTGTCGTCCCATATATGGCACTGTTCCACGTGCTTACTACGGGACGGTGAGTATTTTTCCTTCTAATAAGCCGAGAATTGCGAGTGGGAGTCAACCGAAGCGTAATAGCAAAATTGTTGAATCAAGCGAATAAATCGTGAGTTTATAAGGAAGCGTGGTACAGCTTTTTCACTTTTTCGACATGTTAAGACAATATTGTTGAGAAATAAGACGACCAGCTGATGCTTTTTTTCAATATTTATTTGGTTTAAATGAGTTGATACCACCGCTCTTTAACCCAGACAAAATTATTCTCCAAATATTCGGTATATCGCAGGTACTTTAGACCGCTTTTTTGCCATAAACGACAATTTTTGTATCTGCTTCGAAGCTGTCTTTCGTAAATGAAAGATTCGTCAACTGATTGAATGCACCTTTGACAAATTAATTAAACCTGTAAATGGAATTTCGAGAACTATTCTTTCAGCTTCAAATGTTACGGATTGATAGCTTCATTAGGTAAATCGTTCTTGTTATAATTAATGTTGTATTTTCATCTTACAGTCTGAAATAAAATCTCTCAACATTATCGAGGCGCGAAAAATAAATGGCGGCGTATTAAAGAGACAGAAAAAGATCGGCTTACAAAACAGGAAAATCTCAATTAAACCGCTGATCAAAGACAGGAAGCGATGGATAGCTTGCATTTTTAGGCAAATGCGGGTAGCGTGCTCCCCCTCTGGCGCGCGATTAACCATTTGCACTTGCCTCGCGATTGCCTAGAGGGGCTTCTGAAATATGCAAAGAATGACATGCCTGTTCTGCAAACTAGCATTTGCAAACCCTCGTTTCCGCCCTTCGTGCCACTGGGCACAATGGGCATTGAGTCAGTGTCTTCTAGAAGCCGTAGGTTATGCCTGAACGAATTGACGCGACACATATATTATGGTCGTTATAGTGGCGACAGTTATTTTTGATGTTCAATTAATTGACCACACGCAGAGTCCGACACATTTTTTTTCGTTTCTCGCAGGAAGGCTCGAGATACATTGAAGATGACATCAGTACCAAGGGCTTGTCTTTTCACTTTTGCTCTGCTTTCATTTCCAGTTCTTACGACATCTCATTGGTGGTGGGTTTTCTTTTAGAACAACCGTCTAGTCGGCAAGAAGTTGAAATGAATCGGATTGTTTTGCACTTAAGTGCAAACGGCAATGAAGTCATTCAACTGTTTCACTGTTCAGATCAGATAACGTACCGCCGAGGCCGCGAACTAACGCGTTTGTTTGCTTTTTATAGGTTTATGTCTCGAGTGTTCTCTTTGGGCGCGAAAATCATGTGTAATCTAGACATGTCAGGCTCGTATTTGCTCAGTTATCATCAGAAACTATGCCGCGAGAATCCTGATGTGATAATTAACATCGGGAAAGGTGCAAAGCTTGGTATAGAAGAATGCCAGGAACAGATGGAGAACGAAAGATGGAATTGTTCTACTGTAGAACAGGACACCAGCGTTTTCGGAAAGGTCATGCAAAAAGGTTAGTGAACTAATTTCTTGAAACGGTTTATGTGTGTTCATTTAATTGGTCTTAACGAGGATAGTGGTATTAACAGTATAGAATAGTAGAGTTAACGACTTAAGTGCAATGTACTTTAAAATCAAACACGATTATCACGATAGAGTGTCAAGATCTTTCTGTTGTTTGCTGGCATCTCAATGTAAACAGATCACGAGCTTCCTCCTATAGGGTAAACCTTGCATATAATTCCTTAAATCTCTTCGAATTACATCCAGTCTCAATTGATAAAAGTATTTTCTTGTTTATCTGACATCGACCGACAATATCGAAAATTAATTCCCACTTTTAATGGCAGTATATCATTGCTCTTGACAGCAAGTCGAGAGAAAGCTTTTGTCCACGCGATAACTTCAGCCGCAGTTGTGCATCAAGTAACTCGAGCATGTCGTCGCGGCGAACTGAGAAATTGTTCTTGCGAAAAGAAAACTGACGGTAGAAGTAACGAGGAATTCAATTGGGGAGGATGCAGTGACAACATTGCTTACGGTGTAAGGACTGCAAAGCTGTTTGTGGACTCTTTCGAAAAAGAGACAGATGCGAAGGCAATGATGAATTTGCACAACAATTTGGTCGGGCGAAGGGTAAGTTAAACTGTTCAAGTGTGCTGTTTTTAAATAGTTTCCCCTTACAATTCGTAGCTTCACCAGGTTTCATCCTTAACTTTATTCTGACTTCATAGGTATTTATATTTTGATATGAACGTTTCCTGTTGTTAATGAAGTGTTCAAGTGCTGTGCTGGCGGTAACTTTAAGAAAACGCAACTGACCAGGTCATGATTAGTGTAGTCTTGCATTTGATTGGTTGAGATTTAAAGTCTTTAACGTCAGTTTATTGTCCAGTGTAGACAGTCGTTTGGTTTCCGCATTCAGCTGATTCGCGACCGCGCATAACGTACCATTGAAGTTTTGAGTCGAATTTCAAAGAAAACCGTTAGAGACCAGTCACTTGATATATCGCCTGGGGAGCGGGGAAAGTCCGATGATTTTAGTAGTGTAATGATAAAATTTACCTTATCCCCCTCTAAGGCTCTTCGTTAATTAATTTTATGATTCCCCCTGACTGGTAGTTAATTGGCAGTCAATTCTACAGTCCCCCCCTTTGTACTCTGTTGACAACGACTGATCCTCACCCCGTTCCCCCTGAAATCGTGTAATCTCACCCCAAAATCCTTCACCTCCTCCTCTCTTCCGGAAATAAATAATGACTGGTCCGCAAATCCTTATTTTTATGGACTTTTGATATTAATCTTGTTTCTTACAGGCTGTAAAACGCCACATGGTAATAAAGTGCAAATGTCACGGCATTTCCGACTCCTGTGAATACAGGACATGCTGGAGAACGATGGCTCCGTTTAGCGTGGTGGGCAACGTTCTCAAACAAAAACATCAAAAAGCGTTTATGGTAACTGTTAATCAAAAGAGCAACGAACTCCTATCGGCAAGAGATGACTTTCAACTAAAACCATCACGAGACGATCTCGTGTTTTTGGAGAAGTTCCCGGATTATTGTGTTCGCAACCCAGGCACCGGCTCACTTGGCACCACGGGAAGAATTTGTAACCAGAACGTGCCAGAGGATTATGGGAGCTGTGATGTTCTGTGTTGTGGGCGTGGGTACAACACGATTCAAGTCGTAGAGGAATACAAATGCGATTGTACAGTTCAGTGGTGTTGCCAAGTTAACTGCAAAACTTGCAGAAGAATCGTTGACATGCACTTGTGTAAACCACCCGAACAAACGAACTTTGAGAAAAGCATCTCGCACAATTAGCTTCCTATAAGGAAAGACTGATGCAATAATGTACCTTAACACTAAGGTGTTTAAATTAAGCTGAGTCAAACCAAAACGCCATAGTTCATTTTTGCAACGATATAAAACTTGTTTAGACAGAAGAAAACTTTCAGTAGAATGAGAAAACGAAAAAACTTAATTGAAAGAGGCCGCGTATGAAAGGAAACAAACATATTTATCGATGTAGAACATTTCAAAGCGAATTTCGACCGTGTGTTGTCAAACCAAAACCAAGTTATTCAAAAGGGCCAATCAGAACAAAGGAAAACATCTCAAGAAGCCAATGAAAACTAAAGGTAAAAACAAGGAACCTCCTGAAGCGCGGGAAAACGCCGCGACTGGTTTAAGCTTTGAATCTGATCAGTGTCTGATTGGTTTAGAAAGAAGCGCGAGTTTCTGGACTGGTAACAAAGCAAAAACAGAAAAATCGAAGCAATCCCGGATTATTTTTAATACTCAAATGAAAATTGATCTGAGCGGGAATTTCAAAGAACAAGGTCAAGTATACGTTCGTTTAAGAAACCATAAAGTCATACTCTGTAAATAAAATCATTTGTTGCTCTTTCTGAGTTTAATACTTAAAAGGCTCTTAAATCAAAACAACAGGTCCTTCACTTCGCTCTGTTATTTGAATAGCGAAGAACTGAAAGTGAATAAAATTTAAAGATTGAGTACACCATTTGTCTGTGTTTGTCTGGAATCATTTTGCCATGTCTGCTCGGCCATTATCTTTAGAGGCTCTCAAAGATTTGAATCTTAGAGTTTGGAAAATGAGCGAGAAGTAGACACGGAAAGCATACGTCTTGCTCTGTCACGCCTATCGTGATCAAGTTCAAGGTAATGAAGCTTTTTAATTTATTGGGAGACAGTGATGCTATGGCAATTAGTGTCAGAATTTTGAGTGATTGCTGATTTCACTAGGAATGGCAGCACCAACAATTATCATAATTCGTCTTGAATGTCGTAATCATTTAACCTCTTTGCGTAACCTTCTTTGATGGAATTCTAAAGGTAGACGACAACACGGAATGAAAACAAAATATACAAGCTTCTAGAACGGCAATTATTTTGTTGACAAATTTAACTGAGCAGAAGCTCATGGCATGCGGGCAAAGAAATTACATTTTTGAGAAATTCTGTGGTTAAGGATTTCGCCAAACGTCGCAACTATTTTAAGTCTTATAATAATTAAGCATAATTTGTATGTTTACAGTTTGGTCGGAAATACCATTTTTAATAGCTTTATCTAAGCACCAAACATAGCGTGAGAGGTCGTCTACAGAGACAAAGAAACACTAGCAAACGTAGTTGTGACCATGACAGCATGATATTGGATATTCGGAGACGTCAAAGAAATTCTAAAAATTCAAAGCCCTTGAATTTAAAAAACACTTCACTCAAATGGAATTCAGTTTTGTTACTGATTATTTAGCCCCTAAGAAAATAAGGCAACGCTCATTTCCGTTTATGTTCGCTTTTTTCTGGGTGAATGCAACACCTTGAGCGACAATGGACGCAATTCGGTTGGAAGTGCAAGCTTGCTCAAGGACGAACAATTTCCGAATCGTTCAGTCGCTTAAAACAATGTCCTCTGGTCACTTCTTATCACTCTGATCATTTCTATCATTTTTCTACAACCACTTAAGAACACTTAAGATTTAAGTGTTACCAGCTGGTTTGAATGAAGCTGTGTTTCTGAGGAAAGAAAGAAGCCGAGAAATGGAAAGTTTTAAACTACCTCGTACATAACAAAAACCATTGTTGTCTGCTCAGTAAAAATAGCCTTTTAAAAAACACCACTAACAATCAATCGCACAATCGATTTTAAGGCGGCTTCCATAGTTAAGAACATAAACACACCACTTAAGAAAAAAACAAGAGAGTGTCATCTTTTTAAAAAAGAGATGACAAATCGCACTTTCAAGGAATGTCTCGGTACTTAGTTCTAATGTAGAATCGATATCACTATCCTAAAAGCTATTACAACTATTAACATTTTCTGAGAAACAAAATCATCACAGTACCATTTCCAAATCCAACTCGCCCGCTAAAATAAAAGTTTAAGAGATGGTGCGTCCAAGAACACTTCGCGAGGGAGTTTTCGTTGATATGCCTCAGCGGTTTGACACTGTTGACGAATGTTGCTTCTAAATTTAGCGACATTCATTCGTCGTAAATTGCAGCGTTGAACCATTCAGAGCAGAAGTGTGAGGTGGGCAAACGAACAGAAATAAAGCAAAGGAGAGCCAAATATGAGGAGCATCGTGACGATTGTGGTTTTCAATCTTCTCCTGGGTTTATTCCCGATGAGAACAGCTTCACGTTGGTGGTAGAAGATTTTTTTTTCATTGACTTTCTCCTGTACAGATTGAGATTCCCGGACATAAACACAAAATATCAGCTTCAACAAGGTAGTAGTTGTGGTAAAAAACACAGATCTTCAGATTGTTTAATTGCTTGTTCTTTCAATAAAGGTTCATTTCACAAGTGTTCCAGCTTGGTTCCAAGGCCATCTGTAACCATGCAGCTGGTCTCCCTAACTTCGAACTGTGTCGGAAGAACCCTAATGTTTTGATAAGCATTGGGAAAGGCGCCAAGCTAGGAATTGAAGAATGCCAACAGCAGATGAAGAACGAGAGGTGGAATTGCTCCACGGTACCTCGGGATTTCAGTGTGTTTGGAAAAGTCTTGAAGATAGGTACGTATATAAAATAAACACATTCGCGATTGGTTTGAGAGAGAGTTGGTACATGGGAGAGTCAATAAAATTTTTGCATGTGATGGAGAAGCGGAGAGTCATCGAACATGAAACGTTTTGAGTTAAACAGTTAAAATTGTTGTCAGTAAACGTTTTGCAAACCAAGGCAAAATTTAATCCAAGTAATTCAAGAGCTCATTTGCTGGGAATCATAGAGCAAATAGTTTTATTTTGTGATCTCTGACAATGACATAGTTTTAAACAAGACCATCGACGGCTGACGAAATTTTTCGGCTTAAAAACTGTTATGTTATCGGCATTTGTATACTATTGCACGTTCGCTATTGATTCTGAATTCCTCTGCGCATGGTATCTGCTCGCTGTAGATTCACCATCAACTTTGGCTTGTATGAAAATCAAACACAAATTTTAACTAAGACAACGGAAGAGGAAAATATTGACAAAAAACGCGTTCTTTACTGTAGGATTAGAAAGTTGCTAAGCTTCGAAGGACCTTTTCGTTTAGACTCTTTTCTTTCAAAAATCCTTAACCAAAACATAGATAAATAAAAAAATTTATAAAATAAGTGACAATTTTGGCAAAGATTCTCTGATCAATTTCTGCCGACAGGCCCTTAAAAGACGGCTTTTCGCTCTCCGTAATGATGTAACAGTTCCTCTTTATGATATTTTTTTCTTCCTTTATGCAGCAAGCCGTGAAACTGCCTTCGTGTATGCGATTACCTCGGCTGGAGTTGTACACGCGGTAGCTCAAGGCTGCATCCGCGGTGACCTGAAAAACTGCTTTTGCAACCAAACACAACTAAGAGGAAACCGAGAAGATTTTGTGTGGTCTGGATGTTACGATCACATCGCTCACGGTATCGAAGTTGCCAAGCTTTTTGTGGATTCTGATGAACAGCAAAACGATGCTCGGGCAAAAATGAATCTTCACAACAATATGGTCGGAAGAACGGTGAGTCCTGAAATAATAAATAAACAAACGCCCACGTGTTTTCAAGCCTTTTTCTATTTTCTCACAAATTGATGTTGTAAAGGATTGATGGAAATATATGTTTTCATACTCCATGCACTATCCTCGCGTCCGACAGAGGTTTTCAGCCCTCGGTAAACTAAACCGCGCCGTCCAATTATCAGTTGTGGCTTGCACGGAGCATAATCCCTAGTAAGTGGGCAGTAAGTCTCTTTCTTCGAGAACTGAGCGCTTCTCACGTGGGTAACAGGCTTCTATGAGTAAATTCTGAGTTTTAAGATTAGCTTTCCCACCAGAAGAAAAAAAAACTAACAGAGTGCGATCTGGTGAACAAGTTAAAACATTGACCACAGTTTTCTATAATCTGTAACCTTATTGATCGTAGAAATGACGTCAACAATGTCCAAAACTAAAGTAAAAACCAATTGCACTTTGGTCACATGTGTTTTCCCGCGCATCAGACAGTTAGCTGATTTCTTTTTACTTTGAATCCTCATTGGCTTTTTGGGATATCTCTTTTGTACTGGCCCTAGCATAATTGTGATTATTCTGGTTTTAGTTTTAAGACGCTTAATCGAAAGGCACTCCTTTCTTTTCTTAGCTCAGAGTTGATTTTCTATCCCAGCAAACTATAATTTCGACATTTTATTTTACTCTAAAACGGTAATTCTCCGTGATGCAAACAATCTCTCATTAACATGAATAGGTTGTTAAAAACTGAAAAATTTTCTTCTTCCTCTTGAGTAGATGGATTTTTTAAGAATCGTAATACAGTCGAACTAAGTGGTACGGTAATAAGTGATCACCCTGTATATAGCGGTCGGTTGTCAAAGTTTCGAAAATTTTTCCCTTTAATCGCTGTTATTTTTACCTCTATTAAGCAGCCGTGGTCTCCCTTCACTGAGTCCCAACAGCCTGTTGTCAGTTGTCATGGTCAGTTAACGCGGAACCGATCAAATAAAACTAGGATCCACGTAAAATTTAGTCCTCATTTATCTCTCGATTTAATATTGGTAGTATTAGTAAACAAGTTTTTGTACATTGAGTGGTTAATTTTTAGCATAAATTGGCGTTTTTTATCTTTTCTTTATAATACTCTATTCTGTGGAATTTGTTTTAAGACATTCCAAGACCGTTACAGGTTTGACTGTACAATTTTTGCAGGTCGTAAAAAATCGCACAGTCGTGAACTGTTTGTGCCATGGTCCTTCTGTATCATGTGTCATGCAGACCTGCTACAGAAGTTTGGCTCCTTTCAGCGCCGTGAGTCGCCATCTTCGCGGAAAATATGACAATGGCGTTCTTGTGATTGTTGATCAGAAGGGGGAGAAATTCGTGGTGGCTAATGAGACTAAGGACAAGTCTTGGCGTGACAGCCTCGTGTTCTTTCAAAAGTCTCCGGATTACTGCGTCCCGAACCCCGACTTAGGCTGGCCAGGAACCACGGGAAGGGTGTGTTACAATGGGAACACGACCACAGCCGCGGGTAACGGGACATGTGAGACATTGTGCTGTGGGCGCGGGTTCAACACGATCCAAGTCGAGGAGGATTACAAGTGCAATTGCAATTTTGTCTGGTGTTGTGATGTGAAGTGCAGCACGTGTAAAGGAACTGTTGAAAAAAACGTCTGTAAATCGCCCGAGGAGTATGTTTCTGAAGGAAACAGTAAGATCGAGAAAGACGCAGAAACGGCGGGTAAACAATCGCGAAAAAGAAAGAACAAGGAACAAAGTGTTTTACCTCGCACTGACAACAACAATCGAGAAGTGAAGAAGATCAAAGGTTAACACCTCCCATTGAACTAGAGAAGACTGACAAAGGAATGACAACAATGAAGTCGGTGAAAAAGCACAATAGACAGAGAAAAATTCTATGTAGTTACAAAGTAGGCGAGTTTCAGCAAGTGCTGTATGTGCTTTAAAGTCATTGTGTCATCGAAAACAGTAACTTTTCTTTACTTTTCAATAGAGACTTTGGAGGTTAACAGTTTGGCATAAGAAGCTCGACACTATACCCTGCATTCAGTTAGGCATTGTAAATAAAAACAGTTTTCCTTATATGTGTTAAAACTTCTTTTCGTAGCCTTTTGCATGGAAATCGTTGAAGAAATAATTATGAACTCATTGAAAAGCTTTTAAAATAATAAAATATCAACCAAATAAAACATCAAAATATCAACTTGATGATATATTAAAATATTGTGTCATTTCCGTCAAATTACAACGAAAAAAAAGAAAGAATTGGAATTCAACGTTGTTCGCTCCAACTTTGGTTTAACCTTTAACCGGTCGGTACCATTTCCAGAATAAATCTTTCATGATAGTCGGAGCACTTCAATCTTCATTCAGTCATTGCTAGAATGGATAACGCAGAAACTATTTAATAAAAGGCTTTCAACGCCCGCCATGTTTGAATATTTTTTATTTTTAGAAGTATAATATAAGTTTTCATCGATAGTAAATTTAAGTCAAATAAATGTAAAAGCCCTTTCTAACAAGACAATTACCTGAATTCTTCAGGACAAATATGCTCGAAGAGCATGCTTGTTAAACACTATGGGTTCCCATGGTTGATGTCAACGTTTTTATCCAACATTAGCTTTGGAGAAATTTTTGTAATGTTATAAAAAATATTCTAGAACGTTACGTAATATAAAAATGTGGTATTTAATTAAAACAAATAAAAGAATCTCCCAACAAAAATAAACCGACGGAATTTTTGTCAACTCTCTATTCTACGACCGAAAATCTGTACAATCACCGTAATGAATTACTCATTATTGGTGACTTAAACTTCAACATGCTCAACAATGATAGCTGTTCTCCTGACAACCGGCTATCTGAATACTGTGACCGTTTTCAACTAACAAACATTGTAACTGTGCCTACCCGAATAACGGATACATCGAGTACACTTCTTGATGTTATACTGACAACTCATCCGCAACGATTCTGCTGTACTACGACCTTACAACTCGGTATCAGTGATCATGACATGGTTGTCGCAATTCGTAAGTGGAAGCTTCCTAAACCTCCACCAGAGCTCATTAGTTATCGTTCGATGAAACGGTTCGACACTGATATTTTTCTCCAGGATCTAAACAGTGTCCCCTGGGACTGTGCGTTTATTCACGATGATATCAACGACATTTGGGCGACCTGGTATAAATTATTCACTGAAGTGATTGATCGTCACGCACCACTTAAGAAGAAATTAGTACGCGGCAATGCCGTGTCATGGATGACACCAAAAATTATCCAGGCTATAAACACTAGAAATCGTCTCATATCAATTTTTATGGCAGATTTGCATTTAAACGAGCTATTCGCTCATATGCGATATGTGGTTAAATAAAGTTACTTACTTATGTATTTTTTTTCCACGAAAAACAGGAAGTAGAAGTAATTGACGTCATCAACCGTATATGGCAGTATGCAAAGACATCCAGTTGACCAGCGAAGCTTTATTTCATTCAGTTGTAGCTTTGATAACAGAGAGAAAGCTTATTAGGATCATGTCTGATCAAGATTTGGTAACCGCTGCATTCACAGCGATATTTGGTGGAGGGCTTCCTTCAAATTCCATCCATCAACTTTTCAGTCAAACTCACGTGGGCACGGTTCCCTTATGGCAGCCACCGTCATCATCACCTTTCCCCACTATCACAAGTTCAGCTCACAATGGAATAATTGTCCAGAATCCCATCCAAAATATCGTAGTTAATTACGTAGACCCAGCAGAGCTTGATCCTCGATTCCATTTTGATTTCCGGAACGTCATTCTTCCTGATTGGAACTGCTTTAGAGGGAACTATTACTATCCGTATCAACGACCGCACGGTTGGTACAGAATAGCTTTAAACGTTCTCGGAAGATACCAGGACGGCAACCTTTGGCTCGGTCCTAACGGTCTGCGTAATGCACCAGCCTTTGGAGAATGGCCTGTCTCATATCATGGTACAAATATCAAGTTCGTTCACAGCATCATAAAACAAGGTTTACAGCCCGGCCCGAATGCAAGGTTTGGCATCGGCATCTACAGCAGCCCCAGTATTGAAATGGTTGAACGGATGGGTTATGCAAAGGCTTTTATACATAATGGTAAAGTTTACAAAGTTGCGCTGCAAAATCGTGTCAATCCTTTTCCACTCCGTGTTATCCCAGCCAAGTATACAGCTACCGGAGCTGACTACTGGCTGTCACAATCTGGAGACATACGTCCTTATGGTGTGCTCATCAAAGAATTCGCAACTGAATACTAATTCTTAGAACACAACAGCGACATCGATGAATAAAGGTAAAACAAAATATATATAATCGCACGATACAATTTCCTTGACACAAAATTTGTGACTCTCATACATTCTTGCTAGTATAAATACAATATTCAGCCTCATATATATGGAAAGTTTCCGAGTTAACTGATTATGGTAAAAATATTTCAGTTTTTTTTACTTTTCTCCATCATTTGTAAGCAATGATAGTATATGCATTTCACATACAACATAAGGTAGAGAACATGTAAAAGTGCAGCCTAAGATGACAATTTCACCCAAATACTTAAGGATATGGTTTTAAGTAACATTAAAAATGTTTCTTTTCTACTAAGGAAAAATTTAGTTTAATTAACTTATTCTCTTTCAACATCACATGAGAAGTGCATGTTTCACCATTTAGCCTTTTCTCTTGACATTGTTATAGCTGGCGTGTCAGAGTTGATCTAGATCTAACTTTTTATATCCAACGTAACGTTTTTAGCGGTTAAAGCCGTGCACTTAACCTCACGGGTGGTGTGCGGTTCCTTGTTTATATTTTTCGGTGTAAAAATTGAAGTTGAAACTCCTCAAGTTTGGTGTTTTTTTGTACACCCCATAGATGCTCCAAAAAATAAAGTCTGCATACAAGAATTCTTGATAAGGTAGAAAGCTGGAACTTCACTGGTAGTCTAAGTTAAAGATAGATCTTTTGAATCTATTGAAAACACACATTGTATAAGAAGTTAGTCTGCTTTTGGGGTCCATCTGTTATATGTATAAACAAATATTTTTCTTATTATTTACTTACCCACCTCTCATGTGATAGATATTCAGCATTAATTGGCATAATCAATGTATATGTTTTGGTTCTTAAAAAAATTATTTTTGGTTGAAAGTTTTTCAATTTGATTTCATTTTTATATTTTATTGTTTCATATTCATTACCATGCTCTACAACCAAAAAAAAGGGAAATTACCCTGATTTATAAAATTTAAAACCAAAACAATCCAAAGGATAACAATTATACAATAAATATGACTGACAAGTATTTTCAAAATAGCTGTCTGCCACAGAAGTAGCATTTCTTATTCCTTCCCATTTAATGTAAATAGTGTTACAATGTATCTTCATTACATGTACAAGAGGTTTTTCATGATATCCAGAATTATCAAGGGCAAGGTAAGCATTATCAGCTGAAGCCAAAGGCTGAGACCCACAATGCTTACTGAGATGTAGCTAGTTGTGGATATAAGGAAGAGCCAAGGTCAATAATTTTTATAATACACTGATATGTCAAAGAAAATATTCAACAGCACTAAAGGACTTAATACCTCAGTAGTGATAACTTGCTCTTTTCCATAGGTTCTGTTGTTTTTGTTTCCTTGAGCACTCCTGAAAACTTGCCTGGCTACTTTTGCTTATATTTTTCTGTTCTCTACAGGAGCACTATCTTCTTCAATTTTCCTCTTTAACAAAACACACATTGAGCCATCATTTTCGTGTCAATTGCCTGGTTCAAGCTATGTGACTGCACTCTCCACATGACAAATAACTGCTGCAGCTTTGTGGTGTTCTATGCATGAGAAAATATCCAGAATGATCAGCAGCTCACAGAATAGAAATTGATACTTAGTATTAAAATAATACATTTCACTTTATGGTTTTGCAGATAATATTGTATCATATTTTTTCATGTTCTTCTTAATGGTGAAATGAATAGTGAAACAATATTTTAATTCACAGTGTCATGAAATGAAGCCCAAACGGCTTTATAGTCTGTAAAATATGTTTCAAAAACACCTACTTGGACATCCAAGTGGGATATGTTTGTGGGATATGTTTGTATATATGTGATCAATACCAGTTTTGTTGTCAGTTGTACAAGTTGATATCAACTGCTTGAAACCTTTATCTCTTATAAGTAAATTATACAATGGTCTAGTACGTACCCTCCTGACAATCCCACCCAGGATCCTAGGTGGGAACGGTGGGATCTTGGGTGGGAATTCGGGTGGGATTTCTGCATCCTACCTTGGAGTTTAGGCTGGACTTATGCATTCTACCCGGGATCCCACTTGGGATCCTTTATCCCACCAAGGAAAATACTCTCACTCATGATCTTGGGAAGGATCCATGCAAAGAAGTGGCGCATCTCACCTACATGTATGACTTTTAGGTAAGATAATTCCAAAAGATGTTCAGTGTATCTCTAACATAAAAGGCACAAATGTATTTAGTCTCCTTTGAACCCAATGATTCTGGCAGCCATAAAAGGTACATGTAACTATATATTCTACATGATATTTACCTAAGCGCCAAGGACAAGAACTGAGGCACGACCAATTCGTGTAAGGGTTTAATCAAACAGGGACACAACTAGCTGCCGAGTAACAGTTGCATTACAGCTGATGCGAAGCCACGATCGATCCAACGAAACGCATGCTAAATCTTAGTACCGCTGACCGGTACTGGCAAACAGTTTTTATCTGTTCCATGATCCTAATCAAATGTCCTGCTCAAGGTTCTGAAATTATTTACATGAAAAAGCACCGTGGCACTTGATAGGAATTCCCAACTATGCAAATAAGCTCTGATTTGAAAAGCTTGGAATTACTGGTAAAGAAAGAATGGAGAAGGAAGAATCCTCTTCAGTTTTGCGAGGACTTAGAATTCCTGGGAATTCTCAGCTATACAGCATTCTTAAAATAACTTTTAAAGTTTTCATTGAAGGTAAATTAATGTC